CACACAGGCTGTGTTGAGCAATGGGCTTGAGTAAGAGTTATCTTACTTGGCAGGGTGGGTATGTGGGGGTGTGGGTTGCTGAGAAAATACCTTTGAAGGACAGCCTGGGTCCCTGGGTACTGCTTGTTTTTTTTTTTTTTTTTCTCTTGCCAGTAGTCTGGTGTCAGAACGCACACAACTCACGTTAGTTCAGCCTTGACAGCTCTCTTCGCAGCCTCCTTTGGGTTGTGGTGCCATCTTGCCAGGTGGGTCAGGCCAGGTGTTCTGAGACTCTGCTTCAGGTGAGGAGACTGCAACTGCGACTCTTGTCCTCTGTTGCTTCTTGAGTAGTGGGGCAAAGCCAGAGCACTGTACCTGCACCTCAGACTCCCAGGGCTCTGGGACCTCCTTTCTCCTGGCCCACTACCACAGATGTCTGTTCCTTGCTTCTCCCTAGATTTAGGGGGACATTCCCATATGTGGCCGGGAACCCGCATTTTAAACTGATTCTTCTGGATCTTCATGTTGAAGTGGCCCAGAGGCTGACCCTGTTATAACCTCCCTTCTCAGACAGCAATCCTGTGACACCCACAGAAGCATCATAATGTGTTTGGGGCCCCTCTCCTCCTGTTGAATGCCCACTCCTCAAGAATAGCCCTTTTCTGTCTTGTCCGTGGCTGTTCCCCAGTGCCTTGGACAGTGTCTGGCATGTAGGAGACCAAAGTAAATACTTTTTGAATGAACCAGCCTTCCTTAGCTCCTTGGGCAGTGTGGCAGACTTTCTTGTTGTGTGGTGGGTCTGGTTCTGTCTTTGTGACTTTGTATGTCATGTGACGTTGCTCAGTCTCATCCATAGAATGGAGGGTGAGGCAGGAAGCTCCCTCGCAGCTTCCTCATGAGAAGACGAATGCTACCTATACATTCGTCTTGGGTTTCGGCTCAAGGTAAGGTGCTCAGCAGGCAGCCCTGCCTGCTGCTACTGCCTGGTGTCTGAGCATGAGTGGCAGGGTCACTGTGGCAGTCAGTTTTTCCACTGCCATCAAGTGGGATTAATTTAGTTCTCAGACAAAGTAGGGGACTGGGCACTGTGCCATGGGTTGCCTTGGCCTCAGATCAAGACTAGACGCCAGTATAAACCCAGGTGGCCAAGCCGAGGACGCTCCCAGAGCCAGGTTCACAAATGGATGAGTAAATATTTACCCTGTCTGAGGTCAAATGGGAACCGTCTACTAGCATTGTGCTTTTGTCCCCTCCTTCTCTGCTTTCTGTCCCTCCCCCTTTAAAAAAGGAAACTGAAGATTGGCAGGGTAAGTAACTGGCTTGACAACCAGCCGCTAGTATGACCTTGGTCCTGTCTGTGTCCTGGTCCTCCACTGGTACATCGCCCTCCTTGAGCCTCCCCAGGTTGCTGCTCACTCAGCCTTTCACTTCTCTGAGCTGCAGCCTGTAGACAGAGGACAGGAGTCATTCAGCCTCTGCCTCCACCTGGACAAGAGCCCCATTTGGCAACATGTTTTATGCAGCACATGTCCTCTCATTAAACATGTCCTTCGTTTCAGTCTTGGAGTTCCTGAAGGTGAAGGACTGTGTCTGTACCTTTAAGCTGTTCTTTATCGGTTGGGTGGTTTCTACTTCCCACTCCACCACATACACTTGTGTCCACAAGATGCTGTGTCAGCCTTTCTTCACAGGTGATGATGAAGTTCGTGTCCAAGGCCAGAGTAGACAGCTAGAGCCCAGAGGGCCATGGGGCTGGAAGTGACAAGGGAGGCTATTTTTAATGGAGTCAGGGGAGCTGAGCTTCTGAAATGTGGTAATACTCAGCCTCGCTAATGAATTCCTCTGAGAAAGAATCTTATCTGTGTTGCTCATCGGTTGTCTATTTCTGGGTTCCTGCCTGCACTGTGGCCAGGAAGTTCAAAGGCAACAAAATAAAAGTCACCTTCCCTATCACTCACCCGTTTTGGAATGTGACTAATTCTGAGCTAGCCAAGGCTTGGCCAGACGTGGATATGGTTCTACATGGGCTCCATTCTGTGGTTTGTCATTCCTTGGCCTGGTTGGTGGGGGTGGGATGAGATGTCAGGCATCTCTAGGATTGCATGATTTAGAGGACACAGGGTGTGGGCTGCATGCTTTGTCACATGGGCAGTGAAGAGCTTAGACTTGGAGTTGGAACTGGGTTTGGATCCCACCTTTCTCTCTTGACCATCTGGTAGACTTGGCCAAGTCACTCAGAGAACCGCAGAAACTTACCAAGGCCACATAGTCAGAGGAAGTGTTTGGATTTAGACCAGGGCTTGCTGACGTCAGAGCCAGGGTGTTCTGTTCACCTGTCCTCCTTGCCATGCTCAGAGAGAAAGGATTTGCACAGAGCCACTCAGGCTGAGTATTCAAGGAAAGTGCCAGCGTGCCTTATCAGCAGGGCTAAGATACCACTTCAGGAGGCCTGGGCCTGCTTTGGTTGTGGCTGTGTTTATATAAAAGCCACATCCCACTTACTCTCAAGTTCTTCCTAAAAGGCAGACACTGGATTTGGCAGAGCTGGATTGGTGGTAGTTGGTGGTGTATGTGGTAGCGGTGGAAGAAGGGGTGGCAGACAGCAATTATAGAGGACAGGGAGCAGGGCTGTGCTCCCCCTGCCACCTGGGAATGCCCAACTCTTGGTGAGGCTCCAAGCAGCTGGGACTTTATGCTTGGGAACCTCTAAGAATGTGGGGAGGCTGGGATTGAGCAGGCACTTGAATGCAGTGTATGTCCTGCACTCACTCCTTTACCCACTCACACAGCACATGTCTACTGACTGCGTGCTTTGGCCAAGAACACTGGTGGTCACCTTGTCCTGCATGATCCTGCCGGAGCCTCTGAAGTGCTCAGCACTGTTCCTTTGCATAGGGCAGGAAGCTGAAGCTCATGGTGGTGGTCCCTTGCAGGATCAGATGACCACTGACTGGAAGAGGTGGGACTTTAGGACTAAGGGGCTTTGACTCACTTGTCCATCTTTCTGTCCAGCCATCCACCAGCAGGCGTCGAACTCTGTTCTGAGGCTTTTCTGAGCTTTTGTTTTCAATGTGTTTGTTTTGTTTTAAGAGCAGTCACAATGCTCCGGAAGTTGACTGGTGGCTGACACTGCTGCATGCCAGGCCCTGTGCAGGGTGCAGGTCATAGTACTTGAGAGATCCCGCCCAGTCCTGTTGTAATGTAACTTCCTGAAGGTGATGCAACTTCCAGCCTATCCCTCCAGAGCCCTGATTGAGCCAGTTACCTCACCTCTGAAATGGGGTTAAGTGCTGGTCCTGCCATGAAATTTGCTGTACCTTCCCGTGAGGCCTTGTCTGTGCATCAGCTTTGCAGGTGTAAAACAGGGGAAGGGGTAGCCCGTCATACTCTTCTTCAGAAATCAGCCTTCCTGGGAGCCTGTTCTCAGGACCCTGCCTGGCTATGAACACTACATAAGCAGGACAAAGAGGTACAGTGTGTGAATGCCCCATTAGGGCATTTCCTTGGCCCTCTTCCCTCATTATGCAGGGCAGGCTGAGGCTGTGGGCCTTCTTAGGCTAGTAGAGTCAGTCATCCCCCATGGAATGGACTGCCTAGCTAACCTGCAGAGAACCTGTCAAAACTGATGGCCATTGGAAGCCCCCACACTTTAGAAACAAGGACTTCATGACAGGTGGAGGTCTTGGAGATAAGTAGCAAGGCTCTTACGCTGAGAAGGAGAAGCAGGGTCCCGAGACCAGCCATGCTGCCTCTGCACTGCAGATTCTACAGGAGTGTCTTTCCTCATGTTGAGCAGCAGCTTCCCATGCTGGGAACCTCACCCTGTCCCACCAGAAGGGAAAGCAAAGAATTAAACACTTGTGGGAATGACCTGTCCTTTCAGCCAGGGGGCTTGGAAGAGGACCACCTCACTGTTCTGCCTTGTCTGAGATAGAAAATCAGGGAGCATTCACATTGCAGGGTACCTTCCCCCCTCTACATGTGCACACCCCTGGAATGGGCAGCTGGTGCTTCCTGTAGGGGCAATGGGAGAGGGGAGCTGGAAGGCAGGACTCCCAAACTTGACCGTCAGATTTGAGAGGCAGGGGCTCCGAGGCTCTGGAGTAGGAAGAACTGTGGGGGAAAGAGCAGGTGGGTTCCCGGTGCCTTCACTGTGACTGGGCCATAACACAACTCTCTGAGCCCTATTTGCATGTCCAGAGCAGGAACTCACACACAGGTTTGAGTGGCCCCTCAGGAGCTCTGTGTTGAATGACAGGAAGCCTGAGCGTTCTACCATGGGCAGGCTGTCGGGCCCAGCACTCTGAGCAGCCTGTGTGTTTCTCTCACTGTAATAAGCTTTTTGGGGTTGAGCAGAAACCGGCCTCCCTGTGACTTCATCCTTAAACAGCCCATCCTTAAGCCTCACATCCTGCAGGACATTCTGTCTGTCGGCTTCTCTCCTTCAGAGCAGCAGCTTCCTTCTTGGTTTCTCCTCTGACCATGTCCTCACCTTCTCGCCCTCCTGCTCAGTCATGTAATTGCCTCTCCAGCAAGTTCATGGCACCTCCAATGTCACACCCAGGATGCAGAAGCCACGCCAAAGCACCAGGGACCCTGGGCTCCCCGGTGTGGGGTGTGCCTCTCCTCCATGCAGGTCACTGTGACAATCTGATTTGACGGAATGGTGAACTCAGCGACATTTGCTGAACTGCTGAAAATGGGAAAAGCCCTCTAGACCTTCCCGCTGTCCTCTCACCAGGGGAAAACCACGTCCCATTCAGCCCATCCGGGCACTTCGCAGCTTAGAGCCCTGTCTTCCTCACTCAGGGCCCCAGATAGTGTTGCCCCAGATGCCAACACTGAAACTTAATTGGAATTTTTAATGCATTTTTTTGGGGGGAGTGCTGTGTTTCTATTTGCCTTGACAAACAATGAGAAGGAAAACAAGTATGATCTTATGCCAGAAACTATGGAGCCAAATCTGAAATTAATTTACAAAGTCATTAGTATTTTCCATTTGTGAGCCCAAAATGAATGTAAGCACAGTTCCTTATAATTAACTATAAATTAGAAAAGGATTGGGAGGACTTTTTAGGGAAACAGACACCAAACTCCTGCTAAAGCAGATGGGAGTGGGACTGAAGAGTTGCTTTGGTCTCCCTCAAGTCTGTGACAGACTCAGATATTCCCCAGAAGAGATCAGTTTTCCAACAATTTGAAAACTGACAGCGTTCTCTAGAATGACCTGTTCTAACCTTCCCATTTTCTGAATGAGGCAACTGAGAGATTCAGGGAGGGTTGGCCAAAGTCACACAGCAGTAAGGTCAGAACTGGAACCAGAGCCCACCCTTCTGAGTCCATGGCCAGTGGCTCTGGCTGCCACTGCGTTTTTGCATGCTCAGATGCCTGTGCCTTTCCTGTTTCCAGTAGGTTCCAAATGCTCCCTGCTGAAGTGGTATGCCTCAGTGGAGAAGAGGGAACACGGTGATCAGTCACTGAGGGTTTCAGATATGCTGGCGCCCACCTAGCCTCACACTGGCCACAGGATAGAGCTGTGGTCTCCTTGTAAGCAGCATGGTTATTTCTATGGCTGCCCTCTGTCTCCCCCCTAAGCCAGGGAATCTGCTGTTCTGAGAAGGAAATCAGCCCAAAGCTAATTAGCAGTGAGTATGTGTCCGTGTTTAGTAGAGGTTTGCTATCCCTGTGATTCCCTGGTCTCAGATCATCTGGGCCTTAGTTGTCACGGAGCCACCATGGGGAGGCAGGAAAAGCCTTTGAAGAGCTGTCCCTAACCCATTTGAGGCAAAGCCCTGATGTCATTTCCCTGGACAGTGTGTGTGTGAGACAGACAGGGCCAGCCACCCAAGGAAGCCAGTGCGCAGAGTTCGTGGGCCTTGATGTGATGTTTTCCTGCCTACCGGCTACCATAGAGGGCATAGAGTGCCCTGTTTTCAAGTTTTCCAGCTCCCTTTCCTTGATGAACTTGACCGCAGCCCACCCCTAGGATTTTCTTTGGTTCCCTATGATACCAGGCTGTGTGCGTGTGGAGGAGTGAGATAATTTAAGGCATGCCTCCAGCTGGCAAAGAGCCTGAAGGCGCGTATTGAAGAGAGCTGGGTTTCCTTCCATGTGTTGTTAAAGACCATCCTACCAGCAGTAATACTCATGAGCAGCACCGTGCCAGGCCTGCGGAGAGCGATGTGTGTGCTGGGTACTGCACCCTTGGCAGCTACCTGGGCAGCAAGTGGTAAGGGCCCTCTCTACAGACAAGGACACAGGCTTAAATAGCTGGTATGTCATGAACTGGTGAGGGATGGAAGTGGGGTTGCATCTGAAGCCAGGTGCCTTTTAGAGCCTGCCAGTGTCCTGTGGCATGGGTGTGTCCAGTGGGCTGTGCACGAGAATGGAGGTGAGAATGGTCACTAGGAACTTTTCAGGAGCAGGGCAGGTGTTGGCGACAGAGCTGGCCTGGTTGTGGAGCTGAAGGAGATAAGATGGCAGGGAAGGGCTATCCATGGGAAGGCTCTCTGTGCCAGGGGTCAGCAATCTGGGCTCAGGCACTTGTGAAGGCCAAAAGGTGGGTTGGTAGAGGGGAGAGAGTGACCCCATGGAAGGTTGGAGAGGCTGGCCCCAGGAGCCCTTCTCGCCCCTGGGCCTCCTGCTTGGGCCTGAGTCCAGCCTGCCTCCTGTTGGAAGTTCACTTTGCTCTTCTGGGAAAGGAAGGGCTCATAATGCCCATTCACCTTCCTGTTAGAGGAGACAAGCTGACACCGGACACTTCTTACAAAGTGCAGGTAGACCCCTCTCCAAATAGTAGCTTCTTTCCCTCCACTTACTCACTTAAAAAATAACCTCTTTCCTTATACTAACAAAAAATGAGAAGACAGGGCCAAGTTACTATGTTGCTGCATACTTACTCTCAAGCCAAGAATTTCCTAAGTGTTTACATGCCAACAAGTCCTTTCAGTTTTCTCAGCTGCCTCTTGCTGGGTCAGATACTTTCTCCAGGACGACTATTTGCATGCAAATGTATGCGTCTTCATTGCAGCATAAAAACACGGAAACTCAGGTTACCACAGCTAACAGGTGTTGGTGTTTTCCACCTTTGTAATGCCTGCCTCATTACTAAAAACATAAGCAAGGCCTCCTATTATCTGTCCTCCCCACTTTTCTGGCAGCCTATTGTTGGTGAAGCCACATAACTGGAAGGGATGTGTTTGAACCTCCAGAGCCAAATGGTCAGCAGCTGGGAGAAGCAACCTAAATATCCAGGAAGAGGGGAGCTGCCTCAGCCCACCCAAACCCAGAGGGAAGTCAGTCGCAGTTGTAAGTTCATTGCCTTCGACTTAAAACTTCACTCCCCATCTCCCACTTAATTGCAAATAAGTTTGAGATTTGCCATCTTGAGTTTCCAGGATCATCTGGACCTTTCATTTGAGTGAATATATCCCAGAGGCCCTCATTCCTAGACAGGTATTTGTTTTGTTTTGTTTTTGTTTAGTGCTCTTTCCCCTTTGATCTCAACAACAATAGAGGCTTATTGTAGAAAATTTAGAACAGGGAAATAAAGATTAAAATTACCTGCTGCCCTCCTACCCTAACCTCTCCCTCACAGGTATTTCCTTTCCATCACCCTAAGGGCAGAAGGTGGAGGCTCCTGGTTTCCTACAAGTGGGGAGCCAGCACCATGGTCTTGGGAGTTCCCTAGCAGGCAGGCCCTAAGCTGGTGGCAGCCACCCCCTACTCACAGCTGGTTAGGAGCAGTCACTGGCCTGAGGTCAGGCCAGTAGGCAGGGCTGAGACCAAAAGCCCTCCTCCGTGGGGTTTTCCCAGGAGGTGTGTTCATGGGGTGGGGTCTAAGCCTCCCCTCAACCTGTTCTGGATCTGGTGACATGTACAAACAGAGGGGCTCAGCTCCTTTTCCAAGGGAGCTAAGGAGTAAGGGAAAGACCAGCTGCTCTCATGGGTTTGCCTATTTTCCATTTACTGTTTTCACTCAGTAAACATTTTTTTCTTTGTTGAGATGGTCTCATTATTATGTGGCCTTGTCTGACCTTGATCTCAAGCTCCTCCTGCCTCAGCCTTCCGAGTGCTGGAATTAAAGATGTGTGCTACCACGCCTGACTCCAGTAGAGGCTCCTGTTTCCTTCACAGTCTGGGCAATTTAAGCAGATGGCATGGGTTCTGAGAGTCAGTTTAATACCTCAGCCATTTCTGTGCATGACAGAAATGCTCTTCTGAAGTATATTCCTTTGTTTATTTATTTGGAGATACTGGGGGTTGAACTCAGAGCCTTGACTTGCTAGGCAGGTGCTCTACCGCTTGAGCCACACCCCAGCTCACATTTGAATTTTTTCAACTGAAATGAACCTCATTAGGATCACTTCTTTTCCATGAGCATTTTGCTGGAATTCTGGCATTTTTGTTTGCTTTCCCCAGTTCTGGGGATCAAACTAGGGGCCTTGTGTATGCCAGGCAGGTGCTCTCTCACTGAGTCATATCCCAGCTCTGGTTCCATCTTGTCTGTTGACTTGCTTGTTGGTACTGATTTTAGCTTCTGCCACTCTGGAATTTTCTCTTGTGTCATTATTTCTACCTAGACCCATTTTCCTGGGAAAATCCTGCATATCTCTGAGTTATTGGATTCTCTCATTAGTGTTTAGTCAGTGACTTTGTCTGCAGTTTTAGCTGCTCTCAGTTTTATTTTGTGTTGGACTTTTTTTTCTTCTGTGAGGTTTATTTTTTCCTGGGTCAAATTTTCAGTTTTTGAATGTTGCCAAGAAATATGCTACTCCAGTCTGCTTCTTATTTTCAACAAATGTTTAAGAAGTGTAATTTTAGCCGTTACCAATTGTGTTGGGGGTGTTAATTTCTCTCAGGTTTGATTTTTCCTGATAATCTCATCAGAATATCCATGGGGTCAGGATGGCAGGCCAGGATGTCTCTTCCTGGCGAGTGTGGAACAGGCTCGCAAGGGGTTGTGGTTCCTTTGGGGTTCCCCTCTCTTCATGTTTCAGGGCTTTCCTCTTGCTAACAAGGAAATGAGAATTATTAGGGGCTGGCACACTCACGATGAGACTGTGCTGCTTGACATTAGGTCCCCTGCCTTTTGCTCTGTGACCTCCAGCTACATGAATGCTGAGTCCCTGTACCCTGGGCAGAAGCCCAAAGTGCAGCTAGGAGGCGTGGCAGATGGGGAGTTGGAAGCCCCACACAGGGGATAGCCCCTCTTCTCTTTGGCAGGTCTCCCCATTAGTCCTTGGGGTTGCCAGCTAGAAGCCATTAAGATTCTTCAGGCTTTCTCTTCTCCTGGGTCGGGTGCTGAGTCCTACGATGACAGCAAGCCACATTCCTGGAGGAAAACCCCTGCGTAGGTGAGGCAGGGGCATTGCTCATGGCCCTGTGCTCAATTCTGGTTACTGGGACCCTGCTGCCCTGGAGGACACCAGGGCTGAGCCTGCTGGTACGGTGGGTCATGGGTGGGAGTCTGTGAAGAAGAGGGAGAGCCTGGGAAGGGCACTTTCCAGTCACTGCTGCTCTGTAGCTCTAAGACTTGTATTTGCACCCAGGGGACCAGGTTCGTGTGTGAGTAGTCACCTGTCTCCCCCAAGGCCCAGCCCTACTCAGCTCTCCAGGCAACTGGAATGTGACTTAGTAGGGCTAGCCTTCCCTTCCTCCTTCCTGTCTTCCTGTGATTTCTTGCCATGTCCTTCGGTCGAGCTTGTGCCTCTTTTCAGATAGTTCTTGGTATATACAGGTCACATTGGGCACCATCATTTGGTTTTTTATTTTATTCTTATGTGCATACAATGTTTGGGTCATTTCTCCCCCCTTCCCCCACCACCTCCCTTACCCCCCCGACCCCTCCCTTTCCCCCTCATCCCCTCGATGCCCGGCAGAAACTAATTTGCCCTTATTTCTAATTTTTTTCTTTTATTATTCATATGTGCATACAATGCTTAGGTCATTTCTCCCCCCCCGCCCCCACCCCCTCCCTTACCACCCACTCCGCCCCCTCCCTCTCCCCCCACCCCAATACCCAGCAGAAACTATTTTGCCCTTATTTCTAATTTTGTTGTAGAGAGAATATAAGCAATAATAGGAAGGAACAAGGGATTTTGCTGGTTGAGATAAGGATAGCTATACAGGGCATTGACTCACATTGATTTCCTGTGCGTGGGTGTTACCTTCTAGGTTAATTCTTCTTGATCTAACCTTTTCTCTAGTTCCTGCTCCCCTTTTCCTATTGGCCTCAGTTGCTTTAAAGTATCTGCTTTAGTTTTTCTGCGTTGAGGGCAACAAATGCTATCTAGTTTTTTTGGGTGCCTTACCTATCCTCATATCTCCCTTGTGTGCTCTCGCTTTTATCATGTGCTCATAGTTCAATCCCCTTGTTGTGTTTGCCCTTGATCTAATGTCCGCATATGAGGGAGAACATACGATTTTTGGTCTTTTGGGCCAGGCTAACCTCACCCGGAATGATGTTCTCCAATTCCATCCATTTACGAGTGAATGATAACATTTCGTTCTTTTTCATGGCTGCATAAAATTCCATTCTGTATAAATACCACATTTTCTTAATCCATTCGTCAGTGCTGGGGCATCTTGGCTGTTTCCATAACTTGGCTATTGTGAATAGTGCCGCAATAAACATGGATGTGCAGGTGCCTCTGGAGTAACCTGAGGGTTCCTTTTTCCCCCCTGCATCCTCGCCAAGACCTGTTGTTAGTGGTGTTGCTAATGATGACTATTCTAACAGGGTGGGCACCATCATTTTTGTTTATCTCCAGGCCCAGCCTAGGATTTGGATGAACCCTTCAAACCCACCCTCCACCCCTGTCCTACCAGAGGTGACTACCCTCCCACGAACCTTCCAGTTCCAAGGCTGTTGGGCCACATCAGGGAGGATGTAAAACAGTAATTTTTAAAAATGTGTTTTTTAGCATTTAAGATTTGTGAATGCCTTTCACCTTCACTGGGCCATTTACAAAATTGCCGTTGAAAGATGGAAGGTCAGAGGGTGCTTCTGACGCAGGTCCTGCCGCCTGCGACCTCCCCCCGATGCCCGATGCAGTGGCTTAGGGCACCTGAGGCAGCTACCAAAGAAGCCCAGAAACCAGGTGCAGCTGCAGCAATTCCTGTGTGATGTGCTCACCTGTGACAAGAAGAGGGCCTGGTATTAAATTCATATGAACCTTAAGGATGTCAAGAAGTGGATTTCTTCTTCTTGTTCACATTCAGGGAAAAACGCACCTCAGATGCCCTGTGATACCAGTTATGTCAGGTTTTCTGATAAAATGTCAAGGCAATACTTGGCTTCCTCCCTGCCTTTCCGCACTGTCTGCCCCTGCCAGAACTTTCACCAGCAGGTAAGAAGGACTCTGCTGCCCTCCTCCGTCCGGGAAGTCATTCCTTCTTGGCCTCTAGCCCAGTGTGTATTGGGAAGAGAATACTTTGAGGGTTAAACATAAGACTTCCTTTTTGGCTGGGGCTGGAATGAAGGTGTGTTACGGAATACTTAAGAACACAGCAGCTCCCCAGCCAGGGAGACCCTGCGGCTGGCTGGTGCTAGAGTTTGGTGTGAAAGCAGCTCATGTCACCTGTGCCACTTCCCATGCTTTCTCAAGTGCCCCTTCTAAAGCCAGGTATGGCTCCAGCTATGGTAATGTTAACAGGTGTAAAATTTTGGGTAACCAGAGCTATTTTTTCTTTATCCCTAATTCACTTTAGTCAGTTCAAGGTTGGTGTGGTACTGTCACCAGGCATGGGGCAGGCATAGGTGGAAACTTGCTGGAGAAGTGAGTGTGTTTGAGCCAAGGGGCAGACATTCTAGAAGAGAGAATAAACAAAGATCGATAATGTGTGTCACTGTAAACACCTCCATCTTCTCACCCCCTAGTCCCCATTAATGTGTGTGTAGGGGAAGCTTAGTCCCTCTGTGGTGTCAGGAGAGACGTGGTACCAGGAGGCCAGCTTGACCAGAGACTCCTCTTTCTCTCTCTTCCCTTTCCTCTCCCTTCTTGCTGACCTCCCCCGCCTTCTGTCATTACCTCTGCCCACCTCAAGCCTGTGGTCCTGCCCCTCTTGTCTCAGAAGGGCCATCTGCACTGAGTTCTGCAGGAAGTGTGGAGCCCTTACTGTTGTGAACTCCTCTAGAAGCAGCTGGGGGTCTCCACACTTCCAGCTGCACAGAGCAGAAGCCTGAGGGCTCTGGGTGCACAATGCTGGGTACGAGCCATGTGGTCTAGTGCTGCTGGAGGATCAGGGCAGTTCATTACCCAAAGGGGAAAGAGGGTACCATTGATAATCACACGAGGACAAGCTGTCCAAAGACAACAGGGACATATGGATTTCCTACCCAGAGTCCCTTTGGGTTCTGTCTTGTTTTATAAGGCATCATCGCCCCTTCTCCCTTTGGGCTGCAGTGCTCACAGGGGCAAGCAGAGTGTAGGAAGCGGGGCCTAGGACCATGT